ATTTCAAATCGGCGGTGCTTAGATGATAAAATAGAAGTTGATCTGCAACAAGCTGTCTTGCTTCAGAGATGCTTTCAGAAAGTGCCGTCAGGCACACTTTACTCCCCTTTCACAGGTGTCGTTCCAGATGCTGAGCTCCAACGGAGGAGACTGCGCTTATCACACTGTGGGGAGAGCCTGGAAGTTCAGCCAGCACTGGACTGATGCCCAGTCCACCTCCCGGGAGGGTCTCTGCCTGAGACCTAACGCTGAGTGCTCAGGGATAGAAGAGTGTGTGTGTGTGTGTGTGTGTGTGTGTGTGTGTGGCTGGAGCCACAGCTACGCATGAACCTTTACTCTCCGAGATGGAGCAGCACACCTGAAGTGGTATTAACTTTGAGGAGACAGTATGACGTGTGGAGAAGTAGTTGCTGCCACGTCTGTGGGTCTTGCCTGAGCCTCAGTTCCCACATCTGTGAAATGGGTCTGGGTCTCCCAGCTGGTCTCCCAGAAGCACCTTGCGAGTGGGACCTATATCAGGACCAGCAGTGCCATGTGGATCTGGGGGAGGCTCTCATGCACTTGCTAACTCTCTGCAGACTGAGGCCCAGGTCATGTGCATGCGTGTGAGGTACACCCGGGGAGCACACAGCTGGCAACCACTTCTCACCCACAGACACACTCACGCCCGCAAACGGTCCCACACAGACCCAGGCGAACATCCCCAGGTTCCTGCGCCAGTGGCACACAAAATGACTTTTCTAGCTGAAACATGGGGCCTGGGGGGACTCTCTGAAGTGGAGCAAGTACTACGTGCCACCACCCTCCTGAATGTGGAGGACAGCCCGACAACCACCTCTGTCCTGGAGGAGCTACCTGCACACAGAGGTCAATGTGTCCTCCGATAGGGACACGTCTGTTTGACACCGGACTCAAGTTGGGGCAGCAGTAATTCAGAGTTCTGTGGATTTACTATCGTCAGCTGGGAAATGAGATGAAAGGACGAGAATTGTGTCTGAGGGCAGGTGCACAGTGACAGCGGGGACTCCTGCACTGGAAATAACAGAAGCGTAGATGGTAAAACCTATTAGGCCTGTGCAAATAATCTTCCCGTGGCTGCACTGCTGAGAAATGAGTCCTGACAAATTCCAGGAACAAGTAGCCTTTAGAGAAAAGTAGTATCTTGGCCTAAGCTCAAAATTCTAATTCTTTATTTTAAAATAGATGTAACCAAGTTTTTAAAAAAGGTCTATGCAGTTAAAATTCCTCCATGTCTAAACTAAAAACACTTACGATAGATGCCCAGAAAGCATGGGGCACAGGAGAACTTTCTAAAGGACCTCAGACAGCCCAAGCAGTCCCCCACCCCATCCCATCCCACCCTCGATGATTAAATCAAAGCTCACACATTAGGAGGTGACGGCCAGCCAGCAAACTAGACTTGTTCCTGCCAGGAGCTACACTGATGATGGGACGCAGGGTCCTGTACACTCAGACATGAACAATGCGGAAGGATCTGTACTTGGTCAGGCGAAGTGTACGTGTGGAGCCCCCTTCAGAGCTTACTGCCTCTGTGAAGTCAGTTTTGACTTGGCTCAAACTGGTCCTAAGGTGGCTGAGATACCCCATCTTGCCCACGTCTGCAAGTGGTTATACATCTGGAAGTGGGAGGAAGAACACCTGGGGGGGGGGGG